ATGTTGTGGTATAATGCCCTCATGTTGTGGTATATTGCCCTCATGTTGTGGTATAATGCCCTCATGTTGTGGTATAATGCCCTCATGTTGTGGTATAATGCCCTCATGTTGTGGTATAATGCCCTCATGTTGTGGTATAATGCCCTCATGTTGTGGTATAATGCCCTCATGTTGTGGTATATTGCCCTCATGTTGGCTGTTTCCCTCAAGCAGCCCAAAGCCACAAAAGGCCAGTAACTAGGAATGATTCCAGCATTCTGATTGGTCCATCATGATCTCTGTGCTTATGCTTCTGGTCATTCTGTATATAGAGCAGGGTTTTCCCTATAAAAAGTTCTTTATTTTTTATCACTTTGCACCAAAATAGCGAAAAATGCCATAACCATCTCAAGCATGAAGTCTAAACAGGTAGAATGAATACAGTATGAATGAATGTATTACAGATACGTTTATGAATAACAAATTTTGAAATGTTTTCAAATTATGTCAATCAGTTGTGTGAATCCAGAGCTGAAATTCTAGCCAGGAGAAATCACTAGTTACCAGCGTTTTACTTGCCGTTCACATAGGACACCAGGAACCAGTGAACCTCATGTGGTGATATAGCGCCCCCTAGTGGTGATATCAATAATATAGAGATTCAGGGCCAATGGAATGCAATACTCTGTAATGTGATACTGTAAAATACTTTATTTTCGCTTGGAATGAATTTTCGCTAAAAAATAAATAATAAAATAAAATCCAGCGAATATACCTTTTTTCCCTATATTTTACATTCAGTTCATCAAAAATCAGTGGAAATAAATTCTATAAAAACACCCAAAATGTCTTTTCAGCGAAAATTAAATCCAGCTAAAATAAAGTATTTTACAGTAATTTACAATAATGTAATTTCCAAATATGGGTAATGGTATAATATAATACAACTTGTATTTTTGATGTTTTTTGTAGACTCTTGGTTAACCTATCCCAACCTGCAGAGCTGTGTTTTAATAACAAAATCCCAGACGATAAAACCTTCCGACACTATTTTCTGGAAGTTCAGACTAATCTGCAGTCATGTAAAGAGAGCTTTGCAGATGAAGATTTCATGGCAGTATTAGCAAAAAAACTAAAATCATTATTAGATATGGTAGGTATATTTTATTAATTTCTATGTCCATTTGATCTTAATGATATAATTCTATTAGGGTATTTTACCCTTGTTGCCATCATGGAAATATTACATTTCAATATCTGAAAATTTTACTCAGTGACTAAGTGAAAAAGTGATATATAGTGTTGATGTCAATAAATTTTACAAAGTAGACATTATTACCAGTGGGTTTTAATGACAAAGTTATTTTTTGTTGTCATTTTAGGCATAATATTCAACAGTTTTTCTTTCCAACAAAACAATAGTAAATGAAACACATCCACGTACTATTGACTAATACTTAAATAATTAGTTGTATACAGGGTTTGACATGGAATAATTTCACATATCAAAAATAGATTAGTAAAATTTCTTTTATTTTTCAGGAATGGGAAGACAGACGAGAAGAACATACTCTGCTGATGGAGAGAGTGTTACTCTTACTTAGAAATATTTTGCACATTCCAGCAGATCCTAATGAAGAGAAGGTAATTTTGAATACCTTGTTCTATATTCTTACATGAAAATCAAACTGTGGTATCTTCGACTTTGCTATATCATTATTGGAGTTCTGATTGCATTTCGAAGTATTCATATAGGTTTATTCATTGAGTTAGAGTTACCAAATCACGGATCATGACCGGGACTATACTAGGTAACCTGATTGCGCCATGTATGTTGACCATGAGCTGATGATCACATGCTTCGTAATAAACGTCACTTCAACGTTTGCTTTTGAACAAAGAAGAGGTGTATGTGTCTCCTTATGTGTGATTCTTGGTAAATCTGAAATTTTGAATACAGAGCTAACTTGTAAAGTCAACGTTGTAGCGACAAGCTACAAAACAAACAACTGAATATTACATTCCTCATATGACTTTTATAGTTGTATCTTGTTTTCTGATAACCATTTGCCAGTCGTTGATTTTGAAAATTCTTATGCACATTTCACATCTTGCCAGTGCATTCGCTTTGTGATGCTATTTAAGATGGCCGAATGGCAGCCATTATAAGTGCTAAAATGACTGATATATTAACAAGCCGGTAGGCTGGTTGGCGATCCGCTCCGCTCAAAAACAAGCACCATGTTTTTGGCTGTTTCCATGGTGTGACATAAACGTGAAGCTAACGTCGGTTTATAACTAATACGAAGTTCGCAAACACCATTCAGTTTTTGGAAGTCACTTAGTTTATTACTAGGACCACAATCACTCTCCTAGTCGAGTGACTGTGCTAGGACGTATTCTGCTGTTACATTTATTATTTCCAACCGTTTGCGATAGCATTTTCTAGAATGAAGTGTTTCCTGTAAATGCTGG